CCTCGTAACTCGTCGGAACGGGATGGGCGGATTTTGCGGATACTTTGTCTTTCCACCCCCGCATCGCCGCCGCTTAGTGGTCCTTTACAATTCAGACAACGCGCGCGGAGTATCTCTTTTACGGCGAACACGATCTTCGCGGCCATGCGAATAAAATAGCTGTTGACACGAGAGACGGTTCCTGCAAAGATTCGATGTAATATTTTATCGAAGAAGGAAAGCGAATAAAATTGAATTCCTTTATGTGTGCGAGAATATGTCAATCGATATTCACAAGAAATATTTGAAAAAAATAACAGATTCAACATAGGAAAGGAAAAGAGCCTTTATTCGTTTAATTTAAATACGAAAAAGTATTGAATAGTTTTAAAAGATCTTACATCGTAAGTAAGATTACTTCATGTAATCACTATCTTAAAATTGAATTTGTATACAGTTTCTTGATATAAAACGAAGGCAATGCAGTTAAGCATACAATGCAACAGATTAAAAATAAGTAAATATTAATATCGCGACAAAATAAAATTCAAGATGTCAACTGGTTTATTAATATTTTTAAGTAATAATTTTTAACGAAGATGGTAAGAGTAGCGGAAACAATAACCCCTACTATTTTTGTTAAAAATTATTTTGTTAATAAATTACTCAAGGAATTGGATTATCTTCTACACTGTTGAAGAAGTAATCCTTCTAATAGTGTAGAAGGTAATCCAATCTTTTGAGTTAAATAACATTTTGTTACTTTTAATTTTCTGAACTTCATGTGTATTCGAAGTGAAGATTAATCCATTTCTGTGGTTAGTTTATTTCAAAATAAACAACGTTTATATTAAAGCACTCAATAAATAATAAATTAAATTTGAATCAAACTTAATATATTTTCTTTCTTAAATTAAAATTGTTTAACTTTATTGTTTTAGTTAATTTAACGATATATTGAGTAGAAACAGTGGCGATTTATTTTAGAAATAATAAAAAACATCTCAAATTTTGGATATAACTTGACACCCTAAATAATTAACAGTATAACAACTTCGTTCAACATTGATCTTATTTTTGCATATTACAAGCCATATTAATATTTACTTACTTTTAACGTTTTCAATACTCTTACCATCTTACCATGTTAGCAAAAATTCAGTCATCTTAATAAATTTGACATCTTGAATTTTGCTCATTGTTGGCTTTATATTTCTATATATATATATATATATATACAATACTTAAATTGAAATTATTCTTTTCTTCTCATTTTTACCGCAATCGATAATTAAGTGATCATTTCGCTGCGCGATACCGGGATCAATCTCAATCCAAGGGCGCGGGGAAGGGCTCGTTTTAATCGGGTACGAATAACTGATTTTCTGAAGCATCACGAGATTCACGGTTAACAGAGAGAAGATGGTTGAAGCTGCCTGACGCCGGTAGACAGTGATTAATACCGCGACGTCGTCTGGCGTCTCTCTCCCATACCATCTCTCTTTCCACCCCTTCGCCCGCCGATGTATGCGTAGGGTCGTGCGCAAGAGGGCGTGCTCCGTTTCACCCTCAGACTCTCTCTCGTCCTCCCGTCATCCCTGCGTTACCCCCGAAGCGCGCACTCCGCGGTAAAAGGTTTTACGAAATTCATTGTCAGGCAATTTGCATGTCAAAGCCGCTGAGAAACGTGGCGTTCCAGGACTCGGCAGCAACAGCAGGAGCACCAGCAGCAGCACTATATGCTACCGTCGAGTGTCTGTCTCTACACTCGACTCTTTCTTCTTTCGGCTTCGCCGCGCCGCCGCGTCGTCACTTTCAGCCTGATGGAATTAGGGAAAAAAATAAGGCCACTTTGCGCGCGCGGTGCCACGAATGAAGGCGATTGTTTATTACACGGCTCGATCATTCCGGACCATTGCATGCGTGAACGCATCGGCGCACTAAAGATACGTATCTCGACGTTTGATCATCGAAAAATGTTCTTTGCGGTAGCATACTAATTAAAATAATAAAATCGTAATAATAATTCGTATTACGTCGATGGATCTCCTTTGCGTTTATTTCTAATATACTGAATAGTTTAACCACATACTTCTATTATTTTTTAACAGAAGAAGGAGAATATTAAAAAATTGATGCTCCAATTTTCATCTTAAAAGCTCTCCAGTATCTTTCTTAACTTTTCCGCAGACTCTCTTATTCCCTCTCAAAAGAAAACGTTTTAACGTGATTAAAGCTCCAAAATGAAAAAAAAAGGGAGAAAACTTTCTTGCAAGCTTTCAATGGATAACAAATATATTTCCCTTCTATTGTTTTATTCATCGATGCTCTGACCTCTCCAGCTTACTATTCTCTGCCCTAATGTATGGTTCTATCATTTATCTTGGTATAACAAGTAAAAAAATGAAGCGATACAACCACTCTTCCCGCTAAAATTTGAATGATATAAATTATAATCAACGTTATACAATTTGTAACGATAATAACGTATACGCCGTTAAAATGAGAGATGCAAAGGCTCCGCCGGACAAAGAGGAGGACGCGGGTGGAAAAAGTCGAAGGAAGGGAGACCTTTCTCGGATCCTCCCCCGATATAACGCCTTATAAAGAATAAAGCCACGGGCGGCGAGGGCGAGCGGAGAATTTATTGAGGTTGTCTGGCGAAACTAAGGGGATCAGAAGCCGCAATGATTTTCAATTTTCGAATCCACTTCGCGGTCGTTCCTTCGTTCTCTTTTCGACTCCGGCGGGGAGATCGGATCGACATATCTGGTTCACGTGTAACGTATACAGGATAGACGTAATCCCGCCCGCGGGAAAAACTCGTTCTCTCGCTCTACCCCCTGTTTCATCCCCCGACGCCGGATTGTGTCCGCGTACTTGTTAGGAGTGGTATCGATATCGATTCGACTACCATCGATCTCATTTATCCCGTCGGTCTAATTTGTTTCCTGTAATCTTCTTTTGCATCCTGATTGCAGGAACGAAGAGCTTATTTCCAAACTGTATAAAATACATGTCATAGAAAATTTCATGTATTGTGTGTTACAATAAAGCTTTTGACATTAGATGATTGACATAAGATGATTTAGATATAATTTCTTCAATAATAAAGTCAATAAGTACAATCAAAACAATAGATATGGAGAATATCGGAAAATAATTATTTTACAGAAATCAGACTTTGTGCATAATTGGAATAAAGAAAAGTAAAAAAGTTATTTAATTGGCAATATCATTCAAAAACTCTATCATTCAAATATGATTATAAAAGATACGAGTAAAAAACATTTCTATTAAAACCGATCCTCGTTAAAATTTTTGTGTTGAATTTTTAATATATTTAAGTATTTATAAATTTAACATAATTTAACATAATAATTGTTATTTGAATATTTTGTGTTAAATTATTAATGTAACATTTCTTACAATTAGTACTAAAATAACATATTTTATGAGTAAGCAAATAAATAATGTAAAAA